TCCTATTTTACTTTGTATTATGTAATTTAATTTAATATAAAGCCGTATTTATTTTTATTTTTTATTTCTTTCCTTTTTATTTAATTTTTTTATTTCATTCATTTTTTTAATGTTTTATTAAGTTTTTTTGAATTTTTATATCATTTTAATTAATTTTAAAATTTTTTTTATTTTTATATTTTTTTATTTTGCTTTTTATTTTTTAATTTTATTTAATTTCATTTTATTTCTATTTTAATAGCTTCTGATTTTATTTATTTATTTCATATTTTGTTTTATATTATATATGACATATATATAATTGGAACTTTGTAACTGCTGAAGCGATTTTTAGACCGAGCTCCTCCTATAGTTTATACAAAGCCGCCTCCGAACGGCTGACGGTTTTTATATGAGGATTTCTTTTCCATGTCAGATATACACTCGGGGTGGTTGACATTCCCTGTCGAGGTGCGACCGCAATTAGAAAATTTAACTTCATTTTTTATTCAAAATTAATTTTCCATAAATTTGGATGTTGTTCGCACGGAGATCTGAACCCGAGCCTTCCGAATGATTTTATATCATTTAATTTAATTTAATAAATTTTTAATAAATTATATTATTTTATTTTTTCAATTAACTTTTTTTACTATTGTCTAGTTATTTAATAATTATTTTTTTCATTTCATTTGCTATATTTTATTTAATTTTTTTATTTCAGTCTAATTGATTTATGAATTTTTATTTATTCCTTTTAGTTTCATTTCGAAGTCTCATTGTATTGAATATTCTTTAAAGCATATGAATTTTGGTTTTGCCTATAATACAAAATTCAGTAGATCAATATTTCAAAATTAATTAAAAAAAAAAATAATTTTTCATCATTTTTCAAATCCACTGCCATCTTGTACCCTCCAAAGTTCACTCAAACTACAACTACACATAACAAATATATATATATGTATATATGTATGTCAGAGACATAAAACTGTAACTTTAGACTAACTAAAAATAGTTTTTTTTTTTTACAAATAAAAAGACATACATACAAATATAATACATATTTAAATATATACTAATAAATTCTATTTGAAAATTTCACTAATGATTGAACTACATTTGTATCAAGTTTGTTTTTGGTAACTAGTATTACTAATATTAAAGGTAATTGGGATTTTTGGGAGAGCTACAAACAATTAAAAACTGAGCAAAAAAAAAATAAATAAATAAACAAATATAATAAAATTGTAAAAAAGGAAAAAAAATATTTATATTAATTTTCTGCCTAATAAAACTAACACTTTAGCCACTACATGTAAATATGTCAGTTTTAAAAATTACCTCGCTTTATGGCACGCAAACTTTGAAAATGTGATTTATACAATACAAATATTCTCTTTACACAAAAAAGAAAAAAAAATGTAAAAAAAAAATAAAAGTTGGCGTGCAAAAAACTCAAAGGAAAATAATGAGTGGGATTAAAAACAGCCTGCAGGCTTCCAAGAATGCTTTCGAGCACAACCGAGTCACATAGATTAGACATTGTGTTTATATTTAGCCAGCTGGCTGATAGTGATTTTATCAATTCTGGATAATTTCCATTTTTTTCATTTTTCTTTTGCTCACGAAATAAGAAATAATGCGAGACTGGCGGCGAGCTTTTTTATGGAAAAGTTACTCGGAATGTAATTATAACTGGGACTATCAACAAACATACAATAGCAATTGGCTAAGTTCATACCATATATAATATATATACACGTATATATATGTATACTCTCGCACTTCGATACCGCTGCAACAAAGTAAAGAAAAAAGCACTTTACACAAACAGAACAACAATAAGAAATAATGACATTTTCCTTTTATGATCCATCATTGTGGAAGCATAAAAAAGCTATGAAATTGAGAATATGAAGGGTGAATGGAGGTGGATTGATGTAGTGGTGCCAAAAAGTGAGGCGGCTATTAATGTTAATGCCACCTTACTCAATGGCAGTTCCTTGAACTTCTTGCTTGGAAAGCATAACATACGTGTACATCTGTATGTAGATATGTTTTATATGTATGCAGCTGTAGTTCAAGAAAATCGCCAAACAATCCTCAGGCGTAAAACCTACAGGATACACTCGTATGTATGTAAACGACGCTTTTCTTATAACAAAACTTATATATATGTATATACAGTTGTATGCTTTATTGTTTGTTTATATGTTGGCAGCAGTGCTATATTACGAAGCAATTAAGTGGCTTCCTGCGGGATATGCCACCAAACAATGTAGTCAATTCATAAATACTATGCTGACTCTATGGTTGTTGACTCGAAAAACATTAATTAGAACAATGAAGGGTATAAAGATTATACCAGGAGAGGCGCATACGTACATACATATGTACAATAATTATGTGGGGATTAACAAAAGTTCAGTCAGTTGGTGACTTTCAAATTGTTTTTGTTAAATTTAAAAAATACCAAACCCTTTGCAATTATTTTATTAGTCTTCCTTTCAAATTTTAAAACGATCGGCAAAATGGAGACGAGAGTAGAAAAAACAACTGAGGATAGGTGCGATGAAATTCCACCTCGAACGCAAACAGATTTTCGCCTTGTGATTCTCTTCGGGTTTCGGCGTAATTTACAGCCAATGAAAATATTCAGCGAATGCCAAATTTGAAATGGAATGACTGTACTTTCTCTAAAGACTATTTCATAGTGGTTTGAATATTCCAGACCGGACACATTTCTATAAAGGATGCATCCCTGGAAGGTCGGCGAAAATTTTGCACTGATGACGTCACTTTAGTTCTAGTGAGGTCCAAAACTGATGAAGACCCACGATTGACACAAGAAATGATTGCTCATGAATTGGGCTTGAACGTCATGGCTGTATCGCGAATATTAAATAATCATCTTCTAATATGGTAATTGCTATTCGCTATTCTAACGGAAAAGGGTCAGACGGTAACTGCAAAATGGTACTCCGCAGTATGCTTACCAAAAACTGCTGTAATATCGAGTAATTTTATTGCGATCTCTCGGACCGAAGAAATACGACCCGCACCATATTGCTCGTATATACCAGCTTGCCATTTCTGGATATTTCCAAGAATAAAAAAAATTTAATAAGGAAGGACTTTAATAGCCACGATGAGGAGATACTTAATGCGGCTAATGCTGAACTTGATAAGCTTAAAAAGCCAGATTTTGAAGTCTGCTTTGAGAAGTGGATCCATAGGCTTTAGAAATGCATTGAAATCAATGACGATTATGTAGAAAAGATAGAAAACGGCGAGGAATACAAATATATACATAAATAATTTTTTTTTGGTTTTTTTTTGATAAACATACCGAACTATTTTAATTCCCCCGCATATAAATATTAGTGTGGGTAAAAGAAAATTATGTTTTTTTTTTCTGCTCTCTCACATTCTTGGAATGACAGAAGCGCCAACTTTGCCCAACAGGAGGGTAATTGTGCATCATCAGGACAACGCCGGACCACACATATCGATAGTGAGATGACAAAAGCTCCGAGGGCTTAGTTGGAAAGCTCTTAGGCATAGAATGAACTGGCGATTGGGGTATGAGAGAAATTACCCAAAGTTGTATTCGAAAAAAAAAAACAGCTCGATATATAAATGTGTGTTAAATTTTGAAGCGTAATTATGTGTTCGAATCCGCCACGTAAGAACCAGCTACAACGAGAGGGTGCACAATAAGGCTCGGATTTGTCTTTAACAGTTTTTGTGGGAGCCACGTTGAACGTGAAAGGAGCTGTCGACGCGGTTCTGAAACTCGTTCGGAATTGATTTTGCATTGATTTGGAATTCTGACTTGTAAATTCAAAATGAAGGCTTTTCATCCTAAATCAGGGAAAGGTCCCCTTAATTTAGGAAAAAGAGATCAACTAATACCTTGTAAGATTTTCCAATTCAATATGATTTCAGAACATGATTGCACAATTCCAAATATATTCAATACCGATTTCGAACATAATCGAATTTCGGAAAAGCAGGAATTGAGGGCATGCAATTGGAATGTGGAGTTTCTTGGTTGAGAAGGTGTCGCTGCCCAGCTGCTTGATGTTCTCGGTCAACGGTGTTTTAATTCAAAATTTATATTTATAAATTTTGGTTATTTCGTGGTTTCCAAAATAAACGTAGATAAAACACATTTTTAATACTTTTTTGAAGAAATTAATTTTTTATATTAAGGTTAAAGCACGAAACAAGAGCACGTTTGAATCACTATTTTTTTGAACACTTTTAAAGCGTTCTGCGGTTATAACGCGATACTTTCATAAATGCCTGACTTTTGGTTAAAACAAAACATGTTTGGTTTGCTAATTAAGTTTGACAGATGCCAAAATATAGCTCTGCACTTTTGAAACCACGAAATGTATAACCGTGTAGTCTTTAGAATTGTGAATTTCATATTGATTCAGAACGAACGATTCATGAAGAGGTGAAAATTTAGTCGAGTTTGTCGAAAACATTATTAACCAAGTATTCTTCTGGAAATCGCTAGCTTAATACTAGTCTCATCTCTGTAACATGTCTGAACACAGCTGGTGAGTAAGACAGTTGATAAGGAATAAACGGTGAGGTATTTTCGGATATTCCTAAAGTTTCGGCTTCGAAAGCAATTAATGAGCCTGATAAAAATGTACTGTTTATATTGGAAAAAAAGACAAAAGCTTACAAAACGATTAAGAAGATATTGAAAAAGTTCGGATCATCGTAAACATAAAGAAATTTGTAAGTAAAAGACACAAGACAAAAATGGAACCTAACTAAACTTATTGTTGTTTTTGATTCCTTAAAAAATACAAAAAATTTAGGAAAACTTAACTCAAATCATACCAATTGAAAAAAAGTTTCTCAACACAAAACCAATAAAGAAAAAAATTATATATAATACAACTGTAATATTGAAAAAAAAAAAACAAAACTAAATATGAACCAACTATAGAAGTGGGGGTGGGGGGTGAGTATTACTTGCATGCAAACAAACGTACAATGGCCGGCCTATGAAGCACCCAGATACCCACTTTGGCCATCTGAGCTTGAACGCCCTTTGCTTGTAGCCCCTTGACAGCACCCTCGGCATATGCTGGCAACTCGAAATCGACAAAGCCATAGCCTGAAATGAAAGAAGATTTTGTTTTTGTTTTCGGCACGTGAAATTAGCGTGATTTTTTTTTCGTTTATTTTATTTTATGTGATTTTACGAATTAAACGGAAAATTGGATTTTTTGTTTAAAGTGTGAATGATATAAATGTTTGAAGTGAATTTAATATATTAAATATATATTTTTATATATTTTTTTTTTTTACATTTGCATATGCAAGGGTTGAAGTGGGGAAAAGAATACAATTTAAATTATCAATGTGAAATTAAGAAAAAAAGAATAGGAATTGTATGCATTTTTTTTTTTGTAAGGGAAAACAAAAACAAAATTTTCGTAGAGATAAAAGAAAAAAAAAAAGAACGCAAGAGATTAGCACTATCATATAAAAATCGATAATGTGGTAATATAAATTTGAGTGATCTGGTTGAAAATCGAATAAGGAAGCTTAGAAATAAAATATATATTATATACTATTTTTGGTGGCATTTTCATTTTTTCTAGTCTGGTCAAGACTTTATATTGAATTTCATTAAGCGTTAAAAAAAAATTATTAATCAAGCGTTTTAGAAATCACGAATTTAAATATTTCGTATTTTTATGTGCATCTTCTAAGAATTTTTTGAATGATTTTAAAATTCAATTCAATGGTAATAAAAATTTTATATTTTTTTTAATTACATTAAATTCTTTATTTTGTAATTATTTCGATTTTCGAATTTAAAATTATGCCAAAATTTCCCATATTATTTATTTTTGAACGAAATCAAACTCAAGATTTCCTAATTATTTTTCTCTGTTGAACTTAAAAATGCCTGCACTTTTTCTATAATAAAACGCAGTCAAGTAAAAAGTAATCCATTATTTTTGCAACCTCTGTTTTTAATGAACTGTATCTCACGCTCTATAAGTGCGATTGGTTTACGTTAGATGGTGCTAGAAAGATGATATTTTGAACTAAAAAACGTTATGGGAGGAGTGTTGATCACTGAGCTCAGTAGCGTTTAAGCGCTCTTTAAAGACGGACACCTTCGTTTCCGTTCCGGTCTTTTGTAACAGATACTCCATAATGTGTAAGGTCATTTAACGTAGATGTCGATCAATTAATGGAAAACGTTGAGTCTGACCATCATGGGAGCACTACTTCGATTGCCCCGTAGCTAAACATAGCACTAAAATGGTTTGGAAACACTTGATGGGTGTCAAAATGAGTTACCGAGAAAAAACCACATTTATCCAAATTCCAACTGCCAATTGCTGCTGAATCGTAGCAAAATCGATTCATCTCCGGAGCGGACGGTCTCTGGTGATGAAAAGTCGATGGTTTACAGCAAAGTCAAATGAATGGTAGTGTGCTGGCTCGAACGGTTTCCGAAGTAGGGTTGATGGCCACGAAGGTTTTTCTGTGTGCTTAGTGTGCATAGCAAGGAATCATCTAATATGATGAACTGCACGCTTACGGCTAAACTCTTGGACGATCTGAAGAAAGCAATCGATTCGAAGCGCCTAACTTTGATAAACAGCAGGGGAATTGTGTTTTATTACGACAGTACCAGACGACACATAACGTTAGTGACTCGCCAGAAGTTCCAAGAGCTTTGTGGAAAGGTTATTTGGCATCCATTTTATAGTCCGGATATCGCAGTAAGTGATTTTCATCTATACCCTTTTATAGAGCATAATTTGGCTGGTAAAGAATTGACTTAAAGAGAAGTGCCCCACTTGTTTGCCAACAGGAAGAAGGGTTTCTATGAGAGAGATAATGACATAAAGTACAAAATGGTGAAGAAATGGCAGAGAGTTCTCACTATGGTAAAAAATGTTTTCGACTTATTGCAAAAATAATGCATTACTTTTTACTAGAGCAATATATGAACCCGAGACCTTTTTATTTAAATTTTTATTAAAACCAGTTTGGACTCAGTAACTTTTTCGCCTCAACATTTAGTTTTATTTACTCATTAATTCAATAAAAATTTAAAAATTTTATTTTATTTGGAATAAATAATACCGCTTTAGTGCTTTGTGTATAAATTCCATTATATATTTTATGTTCCAGCTTAACAAATGTTCGGATTCTTACAACAAAAACACACATAAATAATAAAGATGAGAAATGGTGAAGAAAAAAAATACCTTTACATTTGTTTGTTGTTTTATCTAAAATAGCCTTGGTTGAAATAATCGTTCCATATCTGTAAAAAAGAGAATATTGAATAGGTTGATCAAAAAATCTTGATAAAAACGGTATTATATTTACATATGTATATACTTTTACGAATCCAAAAATTAACACAAATAGAAGAAAAAATTTAAGAATTAAAGACTCCTCCCTCAGTCAACAAATTTATTGGACCTAATCAGTATGGCTTTTGACCTGATAAATCCACCGTTGAGCAGATATTAAAATTTTGAAAAATAGTAGTGAAAAGAGGATCGACACACACCATCTCTTCGCCGATTTTAAAGCAGCCATCGACAGCAGGAACAGGAGTTGCCTTTACGCCGCCATGTCTGAATTTGGTATCCCTGCAAAATTTATACGACTATGTAAACTGACATTAAGCAAAGCCAAAAGCTCGGTCACGATCGAAAAGACCTCTCCGTTCGATACTCAACGAGGTTACAGACAAGGAGACTCCTGATCTTGTGCGACTTCTTAAATCTATTGCTGGAGAAAATTAAACGTGCTGGAAAGCTGAGTAGAATTTTCTATAAGAATAATCAGCTGCGGGCGTATGCCGATCATATTGACCAATTTGACGTTAACAATCGCGTCGTGAGATCTGTTTTCTCAAGGCTAGATAAGGGAGCTAAGCATATGAGCCTGATAGGGAACGAAGACAAGAGTAGATATAACTTGTTATCAAACAAACGAACACCGCTGAATCCTTCCTTCCAACAGGAGCCTGATGAGATGGGGTTAGGAAACTTCGAGAGAAGATATGTAAGATTTCTGGTCCTTTGCGCAGAGGCAACGGCGAATACCGTAGTCGATGGAACGATGTGTCGTAGGGCGGTCGATTAACAATATCGCACCCCACCTTATGCAGTACAGCCAACATAACGCAGTTCTTCTTTTTGCGGCGGCATGAGCATTTTCATCACCCATCTTGCGCTGACCATAGTCATGTCAAGATGATCGTGCAAGATTTTCAAAATGATTGTATCGGATACTACAATCATTTTGCGTGATTTTTCTTCTTTAGTCGAAAATATTTAACTTTTTCGATAGTTCCCCTCGATGCTCCTGCCGACCCAGGGTCGTCTTACTAGGGATTCCATTGTTTGTTGAAATAAACTGCGTCATTTGTTCTTTTTTTCGGACAAGAGCCGCCGTAAACCAATAACATCGGATTCATTTTGGTCGCAACTTATTGTCCTTGCTTGGTAAGAAACTTAATGATGGTAGGAAATTTCATTTTTCCATATTTTCTTTTTAACTATCGGTTATTTTTATTGGTTGAAGAAACTTCGCATTCCTCGCAGGTTTTCACAAGTACTGAAGATCGAAATGTGTGGAAAGGAAAGTTTTGCAACGAGAAAGCGATGTTATGACACACACACCATGAAGAAAGATTTTTGGATACAGAAAGAGTAGCTCTCTACAAACCTAATTTAGTTGCCGGAACGCAGAAAAATATTAGACGAAGAGATGTCGAACGAGTTTGGAAGAAAAACTTCGTTCATTACGATTATAAGAAAGAAGTTATGTAGAGCTATAGGTTCTTTCCCATTGGTGAAAAGATTGCTGGGTCTATTGGTATTCCTGAGGTCTGGTTGAAGACCTAAACGTATTAATATTAATGAGTTCATTATTAAGGAAAGGTTTTTAGTGAGAATTTGTTTCAACTGGTTTAGTTGGGTTAGTTCTTAATGCGCCCGTAATAAGGTTTTCAAATCTTAAAGTTTCAAAAGGTATCAGGAAATTGGCTGCTTTATTTTTCAGTACAATGAGACTCCCTAGCTTGTTGGAAGTGACTTATAAGCCATGCGACATTGTTGTTTATGTTATTGGAGGCTAACGCAGTGAGACAGTCAAAAATGTGATTTCCACGGAACGGTGTTGGTTAGGGTTTAGGATTCAGCTCTCGTAAACAGATCCTTGTGCGTTGTCTCCTATGAATATACCATCTTTAGGCTTAGCTATGCATATTGGGATAAGCATTTTTTCTTCGTTCTTATAATGGGGGGGGTCTATTCCAAAGGCATCAGAGTTCTTTAGTTTTTATGTATCTGACTATTCCGGTGGACTAACAAATAGCTGAACTAAAGAAAAGGATCTCTCCATTAACTCAAAGTCCTCTGACGGACAGTTTGAGCCGCTCCCGCTGTTCCAAAAATCTAGGATTTGCATTAGATTTCTTCCCTAGCTACTTTATAGTTCACTTTTTTGTCTTGTTCAGGAACGATCTTACGTATTATAGTCTTTCAGCGATATTCCTGCATTAGTAATGAGGTCGATAGATGAAGAAATTTAAATCTGACTGATGGCGTGATGTTCTTGTGATGGAACCGACATCTTGAGACAAACGGCTATTAAGGCAATGAAATGTATCAGCACAAAGTTTTAATTTGAGAGTACATGCAAGTTGACAATAAATAAGATATCCCGGAAAATCAGAGTGAATATCACTGGGGATCACTGGGGGTTTAGCGGTTAGCGCGCAGAGAGAAAAAACTCTTCTTACCACTAAGCAAAAAGGAGTGCCCTATAGATGCGGAGAATTTACATGCTCCTAAAGTTTTTCCAGCAAAATGGAGTGGAGTGACCTTCAGTTTAATATAAGCCACCTCCGATGAATGGATTATTTGCATCCCTTGCCGAGGGACAATCGCAATTAAAAAAAATTGTTTTCTATAATTTTAGATGTTGGTCGAACTGGGACTCGAGCCGTGGCCTTCAGAATATCAGTACGCAACGCCAACCACTCGACTATTGCGGCCGCCGATAGAGCAACACGGTTAAATCAGATGAGAACAGAGCACGCACGGAAGACAATATAAACCCTCAAGCACTACCTTTGCACGGGTGAACGACCACGATGCTCATAGCTGCAACCTTAACGAAATGGGCTATGAATAGGTGTTCGATAACATATTGCTAGGTTATGCCGAGGAACACAATGAAGCCAAACATGGGAAATGAAAATCAAAACTGTTGTTGTAATTTTTTCACTCTTTCCAAAAAAGATATGGTTTGAGACAGTTCCATAAAACTAAAAACCCAAAAACAATGACCTGAAAAAGCAATACCAATTTAATTTGACAAAGGTAAGTAAGCCAATAGTGTAAAAAATTATAATTTTTTTCATAACGGTATATATATTTTTTTTTGGAAAATACATAAATAACACTTACTGTGCACACATAGATACTAAATCCTTATCGGTTGTGCCTTGTTGTAATCCTCTAATATACAAATTTGTTTTTGACAATTGTTCACCCTGTTGTTGTGTACCGTTACTAGGACCCATTGTTGTATTTGTATTGGTATTACTCAGACTAGTACTTAAAGTTCCGCTCTGCGAGCCGGTATTTGATGAGCTACTCGAATTTGTATTACTTGGCGATGCTGCAGTTGGTACACGCTGACCGTACTAAAAAACAAAAGGAAGAAAAAGAAGTAGACGAAGAAGAAGAAAAAATTATTAAAAATTCATGAATTTTGTTTTATTTAGAATTAAAGCGACATAAAATTAATTTTGAACACTTTTATAGTGCAATTAAAATTTACAAATATACATACACATATTTATGTAATCTTTATATTAAAAAAAACAGAAACAAATATTTTTGTTGGCCCTCGGTCAATGAAAAACTAGCGTTGACCTTACTAAATGCAGTGACTGGTCATTTGTACATATTCGACTAGATAAAAATAGTACTTTCACTATTTAGTAGTATTTAGTACATTTAAGCACAATTATTTATATCCATACATACATGAATTGAGCAACATTTTTTCCAATTTCAACAAAATCACATTAAAGCAGTAAATTGAATAACATTTTTTTTAAATATATTCTGAAAAATACAGGGTCATCCATTTTGCGGTTTGGAAAAAAATGTAGATAAATGCTATTAAAATAATTTTTTTAAATTTTTTTATAAACCTTGAACCTTGGCATTATTATTCGGTGGTGTTGTGTGGGGCACCTTCTTGTTGAAACTATTGGGTTGCCCAAAAAGTAATTGCGGATTTTTCATATAGTCGGCGTTGACAAATTTTTTCAACGGCTTGTGACAATGTAATTGCATTCTTTCTTCTGTCAGTTATCAGCTGTTACTTTTAGCTTGCTTTCGAAAAAAAGTGCCCGAAATTTTGTTTACATTTGTTTGTTTGGCGTCAATTTTAATATGGAGCCCACAGAGGAGCATTTTCGTCATATTTTACTTTATTATTTCCGTAAAGGAAAAAACGCAGAGCAGGTTGCTAAAAAGTTACGAGATGTGTATGGTGATGAAGCCTTAAAAGGAAGACAGTGTCAAAATTGGTTTCGCAAATTCCGTTCTGGAGATTTTTCACTTAAAGATGAGCCACGTTCAGGTCGGCCAAATGAAGTTGATGATGACCAAATCAAAGCATTAATCGAATTGGATCGTCATGTAACTGAGCGTGAGATAGGAGAGAAGTTAAATATACCAAAATCAACCGTTCATTATCACATAAAAAGTCTTGGACTGGTGAAAAAGCTTGATATTTGGGTACCACATGTATTGAAAGAAATTCATTTAACACACCGAATCAACGCTTGTGATATGCACCTTAAACGCAATGAATTCGATCCGTTTTTAAAACGAATCATAACTGGAGATGAAAAATGGATTGTTTACAACAACGTTAGTCGAAAACGATCATGGTCCAAGCATGGTGAACCAGCTCAAACCACTTCAAAGGCTGATATCCACCAAAAGAAGGTTATGCTGTCTGTTTGGTGGGATTGGAAGGGTGTCGTATATTTTGAGCTGCTTCCAAGGAACCAAACGATTAATTCGGATGTTTACTGTCAACAATTGGACAAATTGAATACAGCCATCAAGGAGAAGCGACCAGAATTGGTCAATCGTAAAGGTGTCATATTCCACCAGGACAACGCTAGACCGCACACATCTTTGGTCACTCGCCAAAAACTGAGTGAGCTTGGCTGGGAACTTTTGATGCATCCACCATATAGCCCTGACCTTGCACCATCAGACTACCATTTATTTCGATCTTTGCAGAACTCCTTAAATGGTAAAACTTTCGGCAATGATGAGGCTATAAAATCGCACTTGGTTCAGTTTTTTGCAGATAAAGGCCAGAAGTTCTATGAGCGTGGAATACTAAATTTGCCAGGAAGATGGCAAAAGGTTATCGAACAAAATGGCAATTATATATTTGATTAAAGTTCATTCTAAGTTTTATTAAAAATGCATTTACTTTCTTTTAAAATATCCGCAATTACTTTTTGGGCAACCCAATACATTTGGTCATCAACTGCTAGACAAAAAAAGTCAGTTATCAAACGACCACAGCGCTTCAAATTGACAGTGACAGTCTCGACGTTATTTCTAGGAAGTTAGTTCCAATTCAGACAAAAACACAAAATGTGTTATAACATTTCACTCATACCTTCCTCCCTGCACTTCCTACATGTATCACTGTATTGATGCCCAATCTGCTTGCATGTGATGCCAGTCGGTTGTGTGCCGTCATTAGGCCAACAACTGGTCTGTAGGTCTTATAGTGTATCCTTTGTTGCTCTTCCACAGGATCCGACGACCGGATTTTCATGCCGCTAATGCGGTCCGCAGTCAAAATGGATATGGTGGATCCGAAATTTCAAGTGAAGATGATGAAAAAGTTGTTCCGTTACCCGACTATGATGAAGTCCGAATAGCAATCGCCCGCCTAAAGAACAATAAAGCGGCGGGGAGCGATGGATTACCAGCCAAGCTATTCAGATACATCGGCAGGTGCATGTATCAGCTTCTTTGTAAAATATGGTCGACGATTGGAACCTAAGTTTGCTCTGCCCAATCCACAAAAAAGGCGATCCCACAGTCCACGACAGTTACCGTGGAATAAGCCTTCTTAACATCGCATATACGGTCCTATCAAGCATTTTGTGTGAAAAACTGAAGCTAACCGTCAACAAACTGATTTGACTTTATCAGTGTGGCTTTAGACCTGGTAAGTAAACCATTGCCCATATATTCACCATGCGTCAAATCTTGGAAAAGACCCGTGAAAAAAAAATTAACACACACCACTTCTTCGTCGATTTTAAAACAGCCTTTGGCAGCACGAGAAGGAGTTGCCTTTACGCCGCTATGTCTTAATTTGATATCCCTGCAAAACTTATACTACACTGACCTTAATCAAGACTAATAAAAACTCCGTCAGGATCGGGAAGGACCTCTCCGAGCCGTTTGATACCAAACGAGGTTTCAGACAGGGCTATTTCTTATCGTGTGACTTCTTTAATTTATTGCTGCAGAAAATAAGACGAGCTGCAGAGTTGAATAGAGAAGTTACAATCTTCTATAAGAGTGTACAGCCGCTGGCGTATGCCAATGCCAGACTCGATGAAGAAGCGAACCGAATGGGTCTGGTAGTGAATGAGGGCAAGACGAAATATCTCCTGGCAGTGAACAAACAGTCGACGCATTCGCGACTCGGCTCTCACGTCACTGTTGACGGTCATAACTTTGAAGTCGTAGATAACCTCGTCTATCTATGAACCAGTATTAACACCAACAACAATGTCAGCATGGAAATCCAACGTAGAATCACTCTTGCCAACAGATGCTACTTTGGACTGAGCAGGCAGTTGAAAGGTGAAGTCCTCTCTCGACGAAGGAAAACCAAACTCTACAAGTCGCTCATCATACCCGTCCTACTATATGGCGCAGAAGCGTGGGCGATTCGACTCTTTCGGAATTTCCATTATAGATAGCTTTTAGCGACTTTTATTAAATCCTGATTATCGACATACAAATTCATATTTTATAAATGGTTTTCTGCTTTTCTAGCTACGTCAGCCGTTTTTTCTATAGCGAAGACGCCTAGGAGCTAACGCAGTACTCGAGTAGCTTGACAAGTTGGTTGCCTGAGGTCTAGCACCGCGCAATGGACTCCGGCGCCTCCTCTACCAGCCATTTTGGATCCATCATTGTATTGCAATATCCGCTCTCTGTAGTCTAGATGTGAGCGAGCATAAGACCATCAATTTCAGTGCTCCTAAATGCGATGTCGATTGGTGGTAGATCAAGCGACTTTTCAGGTGACGTCGTTGGAGTGGTCGCGAGCGCGTTTTTTATGCACAAATGTAATCGCTCGAATCGTTTTCTATATGAAATCAAGTTAGCAGTGTTCCAAAATATCAGAGCGCAATGTCGACTTAACAACCCCTGTGTATACTAATGCATGAGGTCAGGTGATAGATCTCATGTGATCTCAGCTTCTTAAGTGTGTCAAGTACACCTCGTACATCCCCCACGTAAGAATTTTGTACTTTTCTGATTTGGCATGTCACATATCGAAAAAAGTATAGCCTCATTCAAGGCCACACGTTCAAAAAGCATTCTTTATAACAAAAAATTTCATGTCGAAACAATTATTTTATAGTTTTTTGTGCTTTATGAATTTCATTCAAATTAACTAAAACTTTGCTTCACAACCAAAAAAAGAAAAAGTGGAAAAAGTTTTAATTGAATCGGAAATCGTTAAAAATAATTGCATGATATTTTTTTTTATTTCAACCTCTCAGCTCATATTTTTCCCCATGTAATTTTAAAATATCACAAAAAATATATCAAAAGCGGAGTTTCAAGGGCGGTGAATACAATTACTTGAAGTTGTAATTGGCGATAAAATTAGTAAATATTTATTTTTCAAAAGTGTTTTGTAGTCGATTCCCGCTGAGTGTGTGCTCTCCCTCTCACCCATGGTATTGTGTTTGAGGGTATTTGATTTGTGTAAAAATCAAAAAATTAAAAAAAGAAAATGATTATAACCTTCCATTTAAAATGCCGAAAATAAATTAATAATTAATAGAAATACACAGAGACGCTTATAACCGCTGTCAATGACAAAATATCACACGAACAATGAAAATATGACTGTACGCTCCCATCGTTCACTCATTACTCTGGAAGGCAAATAATCAAAGTAACACTTCCCTCAGCCATTCCGATTAAAACTAGAGCTATATATCTATTTTATCATAACATTAGCCCGACTGACACTCCTACTATAAAATAATGCTTGATAGAGATAGTTTTTTCAAGGAAGTGTATAAAAATATTTCAGTAATTTCTACAAAATTATCATTACCTCTCAGCTTCTTTAAGGTAGTAGTCTGCTTTGGAGACTTCAAAAATGGGTTTCTTTTGCTAAATCTATTCTAAAACTATTCAAGAATATGTCTTCAAACTCTCAGTAGTCAATTTGACATATTTTAGAAGCCGGAGCAGCTTTAGTGGCTGAGCGTTGTGCAGGTTCAAATGCTCGGACAGAACTTTGAAGCGCGTTTTACCGAGTTTTCATTTTTACAAGTCTAGAAAACGGTGCCGATGTTAGCAAAAAGGACAGATACATACATAGGTCCGATCG